ATTCTGAAATATGATTCATTAAAATATACCCACAAAATTTTGTTTTGTTATGGTACTCTCCGAATCCAAATTGATTTATTACAAATTCTTAATTTAAAGCACTTTTATTAAAAAAAAAATATTCGTTACAATTAATAAACTAAAAACTTAAACTCCTCGATTTTCAACTGAATTATAATTTTCCAAATTCAATAAGATTTTTTAATTGGATCAACCCTCCCTGGTTGATTCACAAAGTTCCAACGACCTCTTAGTTCTTGCACTCTATTGCATAGCCACGGCACAATCATGACGGCTACAAACCATAGCAAACAAAGCCCGTAGTTTATACCGCCGAATAGAGCCAATTGAGGAGAAATAAAATTGAGGAGTCGTAGGAAAACACCCAAGCCAGAGGCGTGACTCAAGAGTCCAAAGCTGTAGCCTCCGTCACAGAAATTCACATCCGTAATTGCCGAAACCCGACATATGCAACTAATTAGGCCGAAGGTGACATAGAATAGAAAGAAACGTCGCAAAAACTCTTGACCTATCTATGTCAAAGGGAATATTTTGTGTTGTAATATAAAAGATCGCTTCAATGTTGAGGATCATAATGATGCTACTCATCGTAACATTGAATCGTAGGTTCTTGTTCATCCTGCAACAAAACCATTATAAGAGGATTAGTTTCTGTTTTATAGAATCAATTACATAATATAGTAAAAAAATAAAAAAAAAAGAGAATCATTGATATGGAGTCTTACCACCATGCACGGAGAAGGCTAGAGTTAGTAGCAGCAGCAACATTAGTATCTGTCATGGTTTATGCGATTATTATTGATTCGTTTGTTAACGATGTGGAAGAAAACTCTATAATGATGCGTAGATCCTTTGTTATGCCCTCTGTCTATATGTAGCTCTCTCTCTCTCTTGTTTCCTTATCCAAACATAAGAGGAAATTAACATTTTGCTTCAACGACGAAAGGAAATTTTACATCTTGTTTCCTTATTCAACAAAAAAGAAAAGAAAATGGGGGATTTTGAGAAATACCCTAAATTTTAATGAAAATTTGAAAAATATACTTAATCTTATAAAATTGAAAAAATATACTTTTTTGTTACATAAATACCCTTATACATATTTAACATGCTAAATAACTTAAAGAA